GTTTGAATGGAAACAACTTTAATTATTAGGTAATGCATGTGGGATATCATAGTTTGAATGGAAACAACTTTAATTATTAGGTAATGCATGTGGGATATCATAGTTAGAATGGAAACAACTTTAATTATTAGGTAATGCATGTGGGATATCATAGTTTGAATGGAAACAACTTTAATTATTAGGTAATGCATGTGGGATATCATAGTTAAAATGGAAATAACCTTAATTATTAGGTAATGCATGTGGGATATCATAGTTGGAATGGAAATAACTTTAATTATTAGGTAATGCATGTGGGATATCATAGTTTGAATGGAAACAACTTTAATTATTACGTAATGCATGTGGGATATCATAGTTAGAATGGAAATAACCTTAATTATTAGGTAATGCATGTGGGATATCATAGTTTGAATGGAAACAACTTTAATTATTAGGTAATGCATGTGGGATATCATAGTTTGAATGGAAATAACTTAAACACATACTATCATGCCTCCCTCCCCTACACAAACCTTCCTAGGCGTCTGAGATAGAAAACCAACTTTAACTAGAGATAAATATTAAACAACTTAACATGTGCCTACCTTTCCTGACCTTTACTCTTTGTACAGCTCTTTGACTCCTTAATGATTTTTGTCTTCACTTTCAGTTTCACACAGTCAGCGTACACTTTATTCATGACAAACCTCAACGCTTCGCTCACAAATATTCTACAGACGCCACTCGAATTGGTAAATTTAGAGTTTATCAACCATCTAAACGTTTCGTCTAAACGTAGGTGAAAACAGAGAAGTCGAAAAATAGTGCGAATATAATTGGCAGACGATCCGATAACTTTCATGGTAATACTTGAAGTTGAAACAATTTTATAATTCAAAGAGGAAATCATATCTTCCAACAGAGAAGAACAAGTGTTGGTAACGATAAGTGTCATCAAAACTTTGTTCTTTCTCAAACCAGACCGTGATACTTCGTTTATAATAACATGATCCAAATTCACCAGTGCTGCTTTATTGTCATTAAGCCTATTCTGTACGTTCATGCCCTCGATATATTTTAAATTAATTTAATAGCAAATAATTAATTTTACTGTGCTTTGTAGAGTTCGGTTTAACATATTCTGACATTGTAAACTTACTGCTCGATGAGACAAAGCTTGTCTCTGTTTAAAGTTCAAAGAAGAATAAAAAAAATCTTTACTTGTGGCTGCGCCCTTGTCCGTGACAATCACAGCTGTTACCGGAAATGTGTGACGTCACTCACGATCATTACCCTCGCTACGCTTGCTTTACACAGTTCTGTTGCCGTAAAATTTTGGAAGACTTCGAGCCATAAATTACCTGCGGCCATTTTAATATACAGCCAATGCCGCAACTACAGATAAACATTAAACATTATTCCGAATCGAAGCGCTGTAAAACATTCATGTGACATGTTTTCACTCTCCTCTCCCTTACTGGATGATTTAATAACATAGAAAGTCTCGTTTAATTAACGCAATGAATCACTAATCTCACGATAAATAATACAAATTATAAACAAAGTACCGTATTTTTCGGTGTATAAAGCATTAATTATAACCAAACAAAATGGAAAAAATGAAAATATAAGGATGTAAGAACATCGATATAGTGCACTGGAATGGGTGGCAACTGTAGAAAAAAACACAAGGTTTTAGTTGACCAATAACAACTCTGGGTATTTTTTGAGAGATTACCGTATTTTTCTATGTATAAGACGCACTTTTTTACCCCAAAATTTGATGTCAAAATCTGCTTGCGTCCTATACAACGAAGGTATGAATAATATACGATATATACAAGCCATATGTAAATATATTTAAATAGACATGCATAGTTTACTTCAATTGAATGTGTTACTTATAACAATAGTAGTTTTTTACTTTTAAAAACATAACTATTTATAATGCTTCCTAAATAATAAAAAAATAAATTACAGTGAAAGCAATGAATATTTTGTAGGTTTTGA